ATTTTTTGTAGTGACTTTCTCTTATCAAAAGTCATCTCCAAGAAAGAATAGTATATTTGATTCTACAACATGTCTGGTGACTCTGGATTCCCCCTGATTTGTTACTTAAGTACACAGGAACTGACATTCATCCTATAGTGTACTCTGACAAAACTTATTTTCATGCAAACTTAGATAGGAGTTTTAACAGACCATTGAGGGTAGGAAGAAGTACCCTTGCACTTCACCTGCAGTCTGCCTAGCTTTGGAGAATTTCCTCTTCCTTAGACATACCAAAATACCAATCAGGTCAATCATAGCTTTTTAGAGGGTGAGGTCATTTCTAATTATGTGGCCATTGTTCTTAAGTAGGACATTGAAACCAAAGCTTTTGTTGTATTAAGAAAGTATGCAATTATATGTTGTTAACAAAGTGGACAGAATCATGGTAAACTCATGCAAATAATTATTTTGCTGTGAAATCAGAAATAACAAAATAGACTAGAAGGTTAGGAGGGGAATCAAATATTGAAACCCAGATCAGTTTCACTACCCACATGGGTGTCCTTTAGTCAATTTCCATTTTTTAAATATGTGTCCAGGTGCCCTTCACACATCCACAAGTAAGAGGGTCTGAGCTCTGATTCCAGTGAGCTTAGCATGTGCTCCTACCAGTCATCTCAAGACCATTGCTTATCTTTGGAAGGATACTGTGTCACTTCAGTGGTAAAGATTGCTTTAGAGGAACCAGAGGTTGAATATGGTGTGGAATATGACTTTAGGTCAACAATAATGACAATGTCAGCTCACATTTTTGAGCATTTATTGACTCAGTGAAAGTCTTCTAAGGACATTCCACCTCAACAAAAAACCTATTAAAATTGCAAAAAACAGATAATAACACAGAGAAGGGAGGTGTGTCACTCATACATTATATCTAATTTGAAGAAACTGATGTGTGGAAACTTCACACTGGTAATTCTCAGCATTATTTATTTCATAAGGTCTATGATATAGATTCTGTTGTGCCAGTGTAACAGGGTAACTTGGCCAGTGTTATAATAATATTAAAACTTTTGCCTTGGCAGAGCTAGAGAGATGGGCATGACTCTAAGCCAGGATGCAATGTAGCCAGAGGGACTTTCTGAGCCTGTGGGAGCAGCTTAGAGGAAGCTTCTGCATTATGGGACCAGGCCTGCCTGGATTAACTATGGTAGCTGAGAAATGCAGAAACTATGGGAGTGCTAGCAGGTGTAGCCAATTGTGGAAGGAGTAAGAAATGAGCTTATGGGTTTCCAGGCTAGCATTTAAAAAAAGCATTTTTCCATGTACAATGGGAAGAATGAGGGACTTGGCAGAACCATGAAGGGAAAAAACATCGTGAGAAAGACTACTGATAGGCGGCCATGAGGGGGTCCTGCATGGTTTTGGATTAAGAACTGGAGATCTGGGTGACATAGCTGATGGTGTTGGAAGCTGATGGAGACCTGCTCAGCCAAGCACGAATGTTGGGGAGGAACCAGGGAAGGTGAGCTGCAGACTTCATTTTGGTTTTCTATTTTCTTCCGGAAGGCAGTACTTCTGACTGGCATGCTCTGAGACTGGCCTGGCTAGACAAAAGGGAGAGGGCAGAATGGTGTGCTTGTGGGTATCTCTTTGTTTTCTGAAGGGAGTGAGATTTAATGCCAGAATTCTGACATATTGGAAACCTGTATGTCTTTTAATTAAAGAATTCTTTTCTTTTTCTTGCCATACTATGGCATTGCGAGCCAGTCCTGAATACAGTAGTGGGAAGAACCTAGGGTAACAAAAGACCCTGTGGGAAGTCATTTCTATAACAACAGAACAGATTAATTTTCTCCCTGAGCAGCAGGCTCATACCACTGAATAATCACTGTGTAGAGATCATATGGGGTGGCAGGTCATGACCATGGCATCCTTATAGTCTGTGACTATAATGTTGCTGCTTAGAAGAATAGTCATTTTCATGGGCTCTATAGAGAAACATATGATGTGAATTTTTTTTTGAGTGGGCTTGGAACCTGGGGCCATGCTGCTTCCTCAGAGATCAGCCACTTGTAGCATATAGCAGCATCTGTAAAGTTCACTAGGGGATGGTTCCGACCTGTGCGGAATGACCATTGTCATAATTGAGGTGACTATGTATAAAAAGTGAATGGTACCTTCTCTCTGATGCCAGATTACTCCAGGGTGACCCCTGACTTGTTTTGAGAACATATTTGTGGTACCAGCATAGGAAACCACTTCCTGGCCCATGTGTCATCCATATTATCACATGAATTTTTTTTCTTGTAAGCATTTATTGATTCTTTTCTAGAAGTTTCTTATACTTCAAAAATATTCGATTCACACTCCTCATGTAGACTTCCATAAATGTCAAAGGAGGCAGGTTTACCACCTCTATAAATCTCTGGGGCAAATGAAACTTTACTGCAGTTGAAGACAATTACCCCTCATTAAGTAATTTATGAGAAAAGAAAGATGAATCAACTCAATATTCATAATCTTGAATTTTGAGAAGTTTTATCTAAATAACTTCTCAATTCAATGAGACTTGACTTTATTCTCAATCCTATGAGACTTTACCTTCTGCCCTATGAAGTAAAATCTTCAGAGAGAAGTGATTATGGTTTTGATAAAAGACAAGGACTGGAGACATAGAAGAAAATGACTCTATATGTTAAATGTCATGTGTGAAAGCCTACAGCTAGCACAATACTATAAGGAGAAAGACCAAAAATGTTAGTAAGATCATGAACCATATAAAAAATGCTTCTCTCCCTACTTGTTGAACATTGTAGTGGAAGTTTGGTGGAAAAAATTAGCCAGAAAGATCAAATAAAGGTATCAAAATTGGAAAACGAAAAAGAAAATGATCTATTTTAATACATAGCCTAAAATTACATGTAGAAAACTTAAAAAATTTCATCCCTTACCCCCAAAATGTTAATACTAATAAATTCAGTGCACTTGCAGGAGAAAAATAGCCTCTTTTAGTTTTCCTGCTTCAACAATAAATATGTCAAAATTGAATTAAGAATACAACTTCATTTACAATACCCTTATAAAGACAATAATTGTTTCCAATAAGCTTAACAAATGAGGTGGAAGATGTATACACTGTACACTACCACAGAATTCTAAAAGAATGGAGTATTAAAAATCAGAAAGAAGAAGAAGCCCCTACCCTTCATGACAGCATGGGTGAAACTGGAGAGCATTATGCTAAGGGAAATAAGCTAGGCTGTCAAAGACAAATATAATATGATGTCACCTATAAGTGGAAGCTAATCAACAAAATAAACAAGTGAGCAAAATATAACCAGAGACACTGAAATAAAGAGCAAACTGAAAATAACCAGGGGGCAGGGGAGAGTGGGATAATTGGGGGAAAATTAGAAAGGGTCATCAAGGAACATGTATGAAGGACACATGGACAGAAACAAGGAGGTATCGAATTGAAAGTGGAAGAGGAGATATATGTGGAGTAGGTGGATTGGTGGCAGAAAAGCGGAGACAAGTGTACTTGGACAACAATAAAAACAAAATGAAAGATAATGTTTAAACACAAACATGTCAGTAATTAAAATAATTTTAATCAAACTGAGCTCTCAATTAAAAGAAAAATATAAAAGTAAAACTCTCCTTAAATCCTTCACAGAAGGTCTTCTTACATCACAGTTTTACAGGTGTTCTCCCAAGTTATGCTTGTATGTCCCACAGAAATTGAGACACAGGGACATGGGGATGATTAATTTTTAAGAGATGGGCACAGGCCCTTTTGATAGATACTCTCTGAATCATAACAATAGCAAGATAATTTTAAGGAGACTTGTGTGAATTGCAAATGACAAAAAAATCTGTAATTACAAATTGCAATTAAGATGCTAAATACAATTCTCTAATATGGTGGTCAGATGCCTACAATCAGGAAGAACCTTCAGGTCTCTGGGTCATAACCAAACTGCTTTCTGCACAGAAGAGGGAAACACAACTAAATCCTTCAGCCAAGACATAATTTGCATCTGCATCAGTTCCTGCAATTTATAAAGAGATGCAAAATAACTGAGTATCCCTGAACAGGGTCAGAACTTGATCTCTCAGAAGGCTGTGCTTCTGGAGGTTTCATTCAGACATTATATTTATCTCTACAGTCACTTTCCCATTCATAAAAATTAATCACTAAGGGAGAAGTGTGTTCTTGACCCTACAACATGGCTGGTGTCAACTGATTTAGTCTGATTAGTTAGTTACCTAAGTGCAGAAGAACTGACATTCACGACATAGTTTGCTCTGATGAGGGTTTTCCATGAAAAATATGGTGGGAGTTTTAACAGCCTCTTGATGTTAGGAAGCTTTTCCCCAAACACTTCACCTCCAGTTTCACTTGCTTTGGGTGATGCCTTTTCTGCAAGAAGTACCAAAAATCTGGAGATGTCAACCTTAGCTCTATAAAGGATGAGGTCATTTCAAATTCCATGGGCATCAGTCTGAATTGGAACATTTCAACTAAAGCCTTGGTCTTATTACCAAAGTTTCCAATTATACCTCATTAACAAAATGAACAGAAATGTACCGAACTCACGCAAATCATTATATTGGCATAGAATAAAGAATACTCAAGAGACTTTAGAAGTCTTTTGAAAGACATCAAAGAGAAACATAAAAATCAGTGTTGCTACTCACATTGTTGTCCTCTTGTCCATTCCCATGTCTACAACAGGCGCCCTCCACATGTGTTCATGGATGAAACACAGAGCTCAGATTCTCTAAGCTCTTTACTTTCTCTCATTTGTCATGACACAACTACTGCTCATCCTCTGAGGGACACGGTGTCACAATGACCCCTCCACTGTGGACATGGTACACACGAAACCAAATTAAGGTGGAGGTTGGTCTGAAATGTGATCTTAAGTCAACCGTAATGACAGTCTTGGCTCATGTTTTTTCTAGTGTTTATTGATTCAGTGCAAATCTTTAAGAACTATTCACCCTCTGAACAAATCAATTATGATATTGCAAAAAAGTACTTTATTTAGAGTATAACAACATGGTGGGGGGGAGGAGAGTCACTAACATTTCACATGCAGCTTAAGCGGACCAGTTTTACCAGAACTCAGGGGGTTGGAGCCTTTACACTGGTAATCACCATCATCCCATTTCAGGACAGGGTCTATGGTGAGGTGTCTGCGGTCAAGTGACAGCCTCATTCTTTCTGTGTCCTGCAGACTTGCACCATTAAAAAACCACTCAATGGTTTCAGCATCTGTGTCGCAGGTAAAAATCACAGCATCATACTCGTTGACTATTGTGTTGGTGGCAAAGAGTGTGGGTACACTCACACGCCCTGTGGAGAAACAGAGAAAGGGACTCATTGAGAATGGGCTTCAGACATGCAGCCACATGGCTTCCTTAGAGATCTCAGCCACTCACAGCCCACAGTGACTTATGTATAAAGTTCACCAGAGGGTAGTCCAGGCAATTGTGTTAGTTTCACTGCCAATATTAAAAAATGAGCTACAGCTCATCTGTGTCCCCATATAACTTCAGGCAAAATATAGCCAGAGACAATGAAATAAAGAACAAACTGACAGTAAGCAAAGAGGAGGGAGGAGGGGAATAACAGGGAAGAAAAGAAGGAAAGGGTCATCAAGGAACATTCACGATGAATCCATAAACAAAGCCAAAGGAATTGTGGGTTGAGGGTGGGGTGGGCAAAAGTGGTAGCAGGAAAATAGAGACAGATGTACTTCAACAATGCTCAAAATAATTAATTAATTTTAAAAAAAAGAAAAGGCCAGGATTTCAATAGAAGAAGTACAGTCTTCATAGTGAATGGTATTGAACAGCAATTTCCACATGAAATGTAATGATGTCTGATACTACACAAAATTCAGTCAAAGTTATATCAAAATTAATTTCATAACATCAAAACTAACAAAAATTAAGTCAAATTATATCAGATTCTAAAGGTTAGACCTCACCATTTAAAATGCTTATAAAAAGTATTGAGAGGAGTATTAGAATATTGAATTTAAAATGATTTTGTGAAGATGACATTAGGAAGACAGGCAAAAACAAGTAGAGACTTGGAATATTCTCAAAATGAAAATCTCTTTTCATCAAAAATAACAGCAAAAGAAATGGAAGGAGTAATCGAAAAACTCCCATTATACAAAAGCCCTGGACCAGATGGGTTCACAGAAGAATTTTACAAAGCATTTAAAGAACAGCTAACCCCTATTCTTCACAGACTATTCCAAAAAATTCAAAAGGATGGAAAACTCCTAAATTCTTTTTATGAAGCCAGCATCATTCTAATTCCAAAACCAGATAGAGGCACAACAAACAAAGAAAACTTCAGGCCAATATTGCTAATGAAACATAGATGCTAAAATCCTCAACAAAATATTGGCAAATTGCATCCAACAATATTTCAAAAAGATCATACACCATGACCAAGTGGGATTCATTCCAGGGATGCAAGAATGGTTCAATACTCACAAATCAGTAAATGTAATACATCATATAAACAAAAGCAAAGACAAAAACCACATGATCATATCAATCAATGCAGAAAAAGCCTTTGATAAGGTACAACACCCATTTATGATAAACACATTCAGCAAAGTGGGAATAGAGGGAGCTTTCCTCAATATAATAAAGGCCATATATGAGAGACCTACAGCCAATATCATACTCAATGGGCAAAAACTAAAAGCTTTTCCACTAAGATCAGGAACAAGACAAGGATGTACACTTTCACCACTGCTATTCAATATAGTATTGGAAGTTTTAGCCACAGTGATCAGGCAAGAAAAGGAAATAAAAGGCATCCAAATAGGAAAGGAGGAAACAAAACTGTCACTGTTTACAGATGACATGATACTGTACATAAAAATCCCATAGACTCTACCCCAAAACTGCTTAATGAATTTGGCAAAACAGCTGGTTACAAAGTCAATATCCAGAAATCAAAGGCATTTTTGTATACCAACAATGAATCAGGAGAAGCAGAAATCAAGGAAAAAAATCCCATTCGATATAGCAAAAACAAAAATAAGATATCTGGGAATAAACCTAACTAAGGAGGTAAAAAACCTGTATGCAGAAACCTACACAGCCCTGAAGAAAGAAATCAAGGAAGACACAAACAAATGGAAACATATACCTTGTGCATGGATTGGAAGAATTAACATCATCAAAATGTCCATACTACCCAAAGCAATATACAGATTCAATGCAATACCTATTAAAGTACCAATGGCATATTTCACAGACATAGAACAAACACTTCAAAAATTTATATGGAGCCATAAATGAGTCCGAATAGCAGCTGCTCTTTTGAGAAAGAAGAACAAAGTAGGGGAGATCGCAATACCTGATATCAAACTGTATTATAAGGCCACTGTAATCAAAACAGCCTGGTACTGGCATAAAAACAGACCCATAGACCAATGGATTAGAACTGAGAGCCCAGAAATCAACCCAACTCTCTACAGTCAATTAATATTCGACAAAGGGGGAAGTAACATAAAATGGAGTAAAGATAGCCTCTTCAACAAATGGTGTTGGGAGAACTGGACAGCTACGTGCAAAAAATGAAACTTGAGCACAGACTTACACCATACACCAAAATAAATTCAAGGTGGATGAAAGACTTAAATGTAAGTCGTGACACCATTAAAGTCCTAGAGGAGAGCATTGGCAAGAAAATCTCAGATATTTCACGCAGCAACTTCTTTACTGATATGTCCCCTAGAGCAAGGAATGTAAAGGAAAGAATAAACAAATGGGATCTCATCAAAATAAAAAGCTTCTGGATGGCTAAAGAAAACAGTATTAAATTAGCAAGACAACCAACTGTATGGGAAAACATATTTGCCAATGATACCTCAGACAAAGGTTTAATCTCCAAAATATACAAAGAACTTACACGACTCCACTCTAAGAAAACACCCAACCCAATTAAAAAATGGGAAAAGGACTTGAACAAACACCTCTCCAAGGAGGACATACAGAACATTCAGAGACATATGAAGAGATGCTCAATTTCATTAGCTATCAGAGAGATGCAAATTAAAACCACAATGAGATACCACTTTACACCAGTCAGGATGGCTATCATAAACAAAGCAACAAACAACAAATGTTGGAGAGGTTGTGAGGAAAAGGGGTCCTTAGTTCACTGTTGGTGGGAGTGCAGACTGGTACAACCATTATGGAAAACAGTATGGAATTTTCTCAGAAAAATAAAAATCGACCTGCCTTTTGACCCAGCAATTCCACTGCTGGGATTATATCCTGAGAATCCTAAAACATCAATATCAAAGAACCTATGCACCACAATGTTCATAGCAGCACAATTTACAATAGCCAAGAGTTGGAAGCCACCTAGGTGCCCATCAGTAAATGAATGGATCCAAAAATTGTGGCACATATACACAATGGAATTCTATGCTGCAGAGAGAAAGAAGGAGCTACTACCTTTTGCAACAACATGGATGGAACTGGAAAGCATTATGCCGAGTGAAATAGGCCAGGTGCTGAAAGGCAAATACCATATGATCTCACCTTTAACAGGAAGCTAAACAACAAAACAAACAAGCAAGCAGAAAAAAAAAAAACCAAAGACACTGAAATAGAGAACAAGGGAATAGTGACCAGAGGGGAGAAGGAAGGGAAGTTAAGGGGAAAAAGGGGGAGGGATTTGGAGGAACAAATAGGAAGGACACAGGGACGAGAACTAAGGGGGGGGGAGAAAGGGGAGGGAGGTGGGGAGCAAGGGGCGGGGGAGGCTGGGATGGGAAAAATAGACAAAAAAACTGTACTTGAAAAATAACTAAATAAAATTTTTAAAAAAAGGAAAGAAATCTTACAAAAAGAGACATAACTCATTGAAAGGCAACTCATGAAATGTGAGAAGATAGTTTGCAAATCATATGAGAAATAAAAAGTTAATATCTAGAACACAAAAAAAATAGCTAAACTCAACAACCACAAAACTAAATAATCTTATTTAAAAATGGAATAAACCACTTGAACAGACATTTCTCCAGAGAATATATACAAGTGACACATAGTTACAGAAGATGCTCAACAACACTATTATGTACAAAAATGCAAATCAGAACTCTCAAGGTTGAATTTGTTTCTTGTGATGTTGGTTATGGTTAACTTTGATCTGCAGGAAAGAGAAAAAAATGTCCTGTGTGGTACCTCTGATATCTCCAAAAGCTTCTTCAAGCATAGTTGGAGCCTCTCACCTCTCAGTCAACTTAGTCTTAGAACTAACAAGGCAGGTCAGCATATCACAAGAACATATTTGGGAATCAGAGCACTGAGAGGATGCATGTCCTCCATCTATGTCTGGGGGGAACTGCAGACTTTCTCAGGTGTCAGTTCAGTATCAGTATTGGTTAAGAAAACACATAAGACAGAGATTCAGAAGGAACACTGCAATTCTCCTGCTTCTTTACTGACCACTTGACTGTCTGCCTGACTAGAAGCAATTCATTCCAGCTGCACAAACATCCATTGCCCAGCTGAGATGTGTTTCTATGAAGCACTATTTTCCAGGACATCTAGAGACTAGGTGGGAGTTTATCAGAAATAACACATAGAGAACAGAAGCTAGCCAGTGATAAGTTGACTACTCAGGCCCTAGGCTAAGAGATAGGTGAAGTCGTTTCAGGTAAATGTGACTGAAATGAGACAGTGAACCAATGAATGACAGAGCAGGTTCCAAGAGATGATTTATCAAAGAGGAAAAAGGACAGGTTGAAGCTGATAATGGCAGCAGAATCATGTGCTCTGCCCTTGACCCTTAAAGCCTTTCTGTTTCCCCTGAGGGCAGGTGAGGATTTGTGCAAATGTAAAATTAGTGTCTTAGAGCAAGTGGGCAGCATACACTTGCTAAAATTCTGGCTCTAGTGGGCAATTTGTGTTAAGTGCTTATTAGACAGAATTTGAAAAAACACTTAAAATTCTTCTGTATGTGAAAATTATTATTAATACCCCAGGCCCAAGACCAATAGCAAATCCTGTTAGGGTGGGTGGGGATAGGAAGAAGCCCGGCTGGACTACAGCCAAGATGGCCCCAGGACTACAAATCAAGATGGCCAACATTCAAAATGGTGCCCAGAAAAAATGGCTGATGTCCAATCTGAGAGCCGGATGGGGGGTCTCTGCTAAAAGGGACAACTGCACAGCACCCTGAGTCCCAGGCTCACCAATGCTGTATCGCTGCTTTGCTCAGAAGGGACCAATCCCCAGCTCCCACTAGAAGCCAATAGAAATAAAACCCCACCATTTTTCCTGTTCAGAGGATGAGCTTCTCTGATCTCCTCTAAAGAGCAGGGAACTTCCTCCAGGAGCATCTACCTCAATAAAGCTCTATATTTTGCCTACTTTTGTGGCTGATTGACATTTTTTCCTCAGCGGAGCCTGAAAGAAACCTTTCAAGTCCTATTTTATTAGAGAAAAGAAAAGGATCTGAGATGATGGTCTTACTTCCTGGGACCACGAAAGCCTGTTCCCTGTGGTGAGGATTCTAAGGACTCTGTATCCAGGTTACAGGCTCTGAAGAGATTTGGATCATTCATTCATTCAACCATCATTTATTTCTTCCTAATTTATAAAAAGCAACTGAGTGCTTGTTAAATGTTCTTCCTGAGCTGGTTTCAGGGGCAGAGTGGAGAATGAGAAAGGAAAGTCCTTTCACTTATATGTGCTGGGAGAGACTGTACCAGAACAGGAAACAAATACGTGATGTCAAGTCCAGTGTAGGGAGGTGTGGATGGGCAACCTGAGGGGGGATGCCTGGGTAATCTAGGCAATGATTCTGATTGTTACTAAAGATAAAGTTTTCTTAGAGTACAAACAGGTTGCCTCCCTTTTTTCTCCTTCGCAGACCAAATTTATTCCTGTGATTGAAGACACCTATCAGAAAAGGCTCTGAACTACTTTGTTGGTTTAGGAATCCCAAGAGTCCCTCATAAGGCCCGAGGGGTAGAGAAATTAAGTCTTTGGCTACAAGCAGAACTCTAGTGACTCTGATCCCCTGCTCACAGTCTGTGTGACTCTCCTTTAGTGACTGTATCTTCCTGTTTCTCAGTTTCTTCTCAATGAATATTTGGCTGCCAGGGTATCAGTGTAATGACTATAAAATGTTTAGAGGATCTGACCTAAATCTTGAAATAGAAGAGCTGCACAAAAGAGTCATCTGTTAATAATTGACTGCCAGAGAGAACCCCTGGGTCACCCCTGATGAATGAAGAGCTTCCAGAAGCATCTCTTTTTCTCAGTTTTTTTTTAGGGAATGCTGACCTTTTGTGAAATTTACTCGAGACTCCCAAGATAGCCAGCTAGTTACAAGGACATTGTCTAACACTGCTCTTCACACAAAACTCAGGTGAGGAGAGACGAAACTTCATTTCTGGTGAGATGCAAGTCTTGGTCAGGAACTTTGACTGGTGACAGCCTCAGGAGCCTTGTGTATTGGGCAACCATTAAACTGTTACACACTCAGCCCTTCTGAGGAGGCCAAACCCAACCTAGCATAGGCTCATCAGGGTCCTTGGAGTAAAGAACCCTGTCCCAGGGGGGGACAGGCTTCTTGGGAGGGGTTTCTGAGCTGAGCTGTGTAATAATTTCAAAGGTTCTCTCAGCCTGTGCACTGACCTAGTAAAGCAGTCATACTCAAGGTGAAGTTAAAAGGCAGGTGCTCAGGATGCTGAAATTAGTCTGGTCTCTCTCTGCTGACTTAGCCCCATCAAACTGATTCTTCTGTCTGCACTGACAGTCTGCAAGGCTGAAATTTGAGGAGGGAAGTGAGGTCTTAGCAAGTTTGTCTGTATTCTCCGTGTATCTTGCATGAAGTGTTAAAATCCATTCTGAATCAGAATGCCAAGGGGAATGGAGGTAGTGTCCAAGGTATATCAGTCCTGTGTGTGAAGTGGAATTCACCCCACCTGACACCCAGAGGCCAGAGAGCAATTACTTACGGTATACATCTATTCGTCCACATGCTATCATTTGCTGGCAGCCTCGTACTTGGATCTCTACAGTGTAGATTCCTGAGTCTCTCATGGTGACATTCTTTAACACCAAGGACCCATCACCGTTTACTATCGCTCGTGCACCTTGAGGACCTCTTACAAAGTTTCCTTGGCTGACTAAAAGATATGCAATATTATTATGGATGTCAACGTTTCCTCCCCTGTACCACAGAAAAAGTTCTGCATGGGGAGCATGATGGCAGATACGAAGAGTCACATCATGCCCCTCGAGACCATCAGCTGATACAACTGTCACTTGGGCAGTGGTGGGCTGGCTCCAGAAGTTTAAGAGTGAGACTAGAAGATAAGAGGAAAAAAGAGCATCATTATTTTTATGTATGTTTTAGGATGGAAAGATAAGGCCCTGAATCCTGGGCAGGTCTCTTTATGTCTCAACCTTGGTCTGTAGGTGAGTTGTTTCTCTCAGGTCAAGGTCAGAGACATGGCCCTCTTTACTTCAGCACTTCTGAACCTTTTATTTTAGAGATTTCAAATCCTCTTCTTTGGTTGTTTGTCTTGCTTACCCCTTCTCTGTGCTCAAATGCCACCTGATACTCAGGGGCATTTATGAAAGGCACCTTTGCCAACTACCTTCTCTAAAGATTCTCTGCCTTCACTTTCTGGCCTGCCCCTACTCTCTTTTTTCATCACCATTGTGGATACCTGACCTCACATCTATATCTTTCCTTGTCCCTCTCTCCTATATAGAACATGGGCTCAATGAGAACAGGGCTTGTCTCATCTTGTATTCCAGTGACTGCAACAGCCTGGAAATACATGGCTTTGAGTGAATGCGTGATCCCAGTGTCCTGTACATCCTGTGATCTGTTGACCCATTTCAAATGTTGGTGATGAAGACAATGTCTAAGACTCCTTATTAATTTTCAGGTGCTTCCTGTTAAATCAGAATATCAGCATAATGAATAACAGGAAATGCACAGTAACTGAGGGTTTTCTGCCTCTCACCACTTCGAGATTATGAGATTTTTCCTCTAGCTGAGCCCCCATCCTCATCCTACTCTGCTCTTCTGTCCTTTAGCTTCAGGTAACATCAAAAGCCTTCCCTCATTTCTCAGGGCACTGGTCTCTTCAACAGATTCTAGCCAGTTCTGTGTCAGATAGTTAGTCTACCCCAAGGAATTCTCTCCTACTTACCAACAAGCAGGAGCCCTTGCCAGTGGACAAATCCTCTGTGATTGGAGATTGAAAGAAACCCCATGTCTCTTCTGTCACTGCCTCTTTTAGAGAAGGTTGAGTTACTCTAAATCTTTCAGGCACCTCTGTCTAGAATGTTGCAATCTGCTGTGTGTCCTACCTGTGTGGTTGGCTTTATTCTGTGGCATGTTTACTATTCTTGTCATGTGGGCTGGGTCTGGGCACATTACCCTTCCTCTCCCAGACATAATTTTTGCCACCCTTATAGCTTGTAACCAGTACTTTTTTCTTATACTTTTATTCCCTGAAAACTTCTAAGGCCTCTCAATACCACACATTCACAAATACAAACTCACATATTGTGTTATGAAAAGGAAAAGGTGGGGTGTCTGGGTTTCAGGCATTTCCCACAGCTTCCTGTCAGGTGTACAGTAGCCTCCCCCTCAGCCCTCTCTTTTTCACATTTTACCTTTTCTTTCAGAGCAGGAGTTGTAGAACTAACTCTGAAAAACCTGTCAAAATAATGTCACCCCTCTGGTGCATTGGATCCCCTGTGAAACTTTTCAAACATCTCTATTTCCAGGTGAAATCTAGAAAATGCAGCTTCAGCAGCTCTCCAGATAATGTGGGTGCCCATTCAAATTGTGATGTTTTGATATGAATGTAGAACCTCCCGTCTGTCTACTTTGTGCACAAGGGAAGTCTCCAGGTCCTTTTATTTTATTTTTTAAAATTAATTAATTTATTTATCTTTAGAGGGGAAGGGAGGGAAAGAAGGAGAGAAATATCAATGTATGGTTGCCTCTCGTGAGTCCCCTGCTGGGAACTGGCTTGCAACCCAGGCATGTGCCCTGACTGGGAATCGGATCGCAATTGTGTGGTTCGCAGGCCCGCGCTCAATCCAGGTCCTTTTATACTACAGATTCTGAAATGGGTGAGAGACTTTTCACCCACAGTGGACATCTGACAAGCTGCCAGGAGAGGTTGATCTAACTGGCCTGTAGGATACACTTGTAATAGCAAGGGTGATGGGGGCACATGTGTCCCTGAGGGGCTGACCTACTAAGGACAACATTGGTCACTACTGTGACTTGGTCTTGGGACCACTTGGTCTTTCAGTACCACTCAGAGAGCCATAGGTGTCCTAAAATTCTACATTATTTCTGTTTGTGACACAGAAACCCAGCTGGGCACTGGGTCCTCTCCATGTTCTCAGTGCTCTGGGGTGTTTTTTCCTGCTAGCACAAAGGTCACAAGAGATGCCTCCGGGTGTGAGCAGGTGTCAAGCTTGGCAACATTTGCAGACTGGACCTTACTTTTGTCTCAAGTTGTCACCACATTGACATTTGCTTTCCGGGAAAAATAGGGAAAACCAGGAGTCTCAGTAGGACATATAGTTTTGAAGTGTGAAGTAGGACATGTCCTGCATGTCTTAGGAAGAACAAAGTTTGGGGAAACTTGGGTGCCTACTGGCTTTCTGTTTTTTAGGGGACGGGTTCATGTAGATAATCCCTGTCCATGCCTGTTTGTTGGACCTGTCGTTTTGCTGCTGGGCTCTTTGAAAAACCTCCAATTTCTGCTTGGGTGCCTTTCTTGTGTTCACCTTGCCTTGCCATGGATGATGCCATTCATGAGGTACAGAGCAGCACTGATCACCATGAGGGAGGTAGTGGTCCAAGGCCCTGTCAAAGTAAAAAAAGTCCAAATAGATACATCAACTTAATGAGTTTATCTGAGTCAAATTGACCTCATATGTCTGGGAGAGAGGTTTCAAATCCTGTGAAGTCAGTTTTGTAGCTTGTTTTATACATTATAATCAAAATAGAAGGTGAATAAGGATGCATAAAAACTATTAGGAGGTGAGAGAAAACATAAAAGGAAAGTCTCTAGAACTGGGTAAAAGGCAAAATGGAGAAACACACACACATATATAATGTGTTATATGCATATATAACATGTGTTATAGGTGACATATAACATATGTTATATATAACATGTGCGTTTTATGTTGGTGGGTACAGGCTAATTCACATGTACAGGACATAGAGAAGATGTGCAGGGGACCGGATAACATAAAGAGTGGTGGTCTCACACACTTGTCCCAGACTCTGGCTTTTGAATGACTCAGCTTAGAAAATCCCTCTGATGTGTCAAAGTTATGCTATCCAAGAGGTAAAGAAAAAAAGAAGCTGTCAGGGCTCACTCACTAAAGGTAAGGAGTGACCTTTGCTATAGAAAATGGAGCCTGGGGTGCGGTAACCTGCCATCACCAACCAAACTAAAATTTTCTGATCAGAATATGCTATGAAGTTGGTCAGGCCAGCTATGTGGCCCTCTGAGCTTGTGAGGGTTTCTACACAGCCCCTTTTCTTAACAGTCTCTACAAGTAGCAGACTGGACAGAAAAGGCAGAAGGGAGGGCCCAAGAAAGGCCTGTTAAATTAGGGGATGAAAATCAGCCTCCTCCATCTACTTATTCAAAGACAGGTTCCTGTGTCTATTTCATGTTTGTCTCAATGTTGCTCCCTAGAGGACAGAGGTAGACTTGCAGTTAATGTCAGGTGATGCACAGGATGTTGACCAATGTAGGATGAGCCCAGGGAAAAGGCAGGCATTGTTCCTAATATTATGAGTCCAGTGTCAGGAGAACTATCCCACCAGGGAGATACACTATTTCAGACAGAGCTCTGTGCTTCCAAGTGTTCAAAGGAAGGACCTGGTGAAGATTCTTCTGAGGCTTTTGGATGAGGGTGCTGGCCTGAAATGCTGATCCCCAAAATGCCCTATGTGTCCACCATCACTACACTGGGACATTGCATGTAAGTCATATCTGTGTCCCTGTCTGCCCACAGGGCCAGGAAGCAAGAGCATCTCCAGGTGGATACTCAACCAGGGGCCCTGTGTGTTCTGTTAGGGGAAGAAAGGTTCTTGTAAAAACATCAACCCCTCTGAGATGGAAGCAAACACACATTCTGGTCTCTCCTGTTCCTTTCGGCACAAGAAAGAAACAAGGTAGGACATTTCCCTTGTTCCCCAGGCCATCATGACCTAGACAGATGGCTTCAGAAACAACAGGCAGGTATCCCTCAGACCATCAACTCTGTGAATGAAAAGTCACTCCTTATTCTTATCAGGTCTGGGATAAGACTGAAACTGAAAGCTCACTTCTAGGACATTTAGTCATTAATTAAAGTTATTGAGTGCCTAATTTATTACCAAACATTTCTCTCATGGCTAGTGATGCTGAGTATCCTTTCATATGTCCTGGAACCCTCTGTATGTCCTCCTTGGAGAAGTGTCTGTTCAGGCCCTTTGCCCATGCTTTTAAGTTGGTCCTTTGTCTTCCTGGAGTGGAGAGTCCTGTGAGCTTTTTATGTATTCTGAAGAAAAAAACCCTGTCCCAGATGTCACTAGTTAATATGTTTTCCCATACAGTTGGTTCCTTTTTCATTTTGATGATGTTTCCCTTAGCCGGGAAGAAGCTCTTTGTATTGATGAGATTCCATTTGGTTATGCTTTCCTTTGTGTTCTCTGCTCTAGGGGACATGTGTGTAGAAATATTGCTGTGTGGAATATATGAGATTTTCTTTCCTTTGCCGTATCCTAGAATTTGTATAGTATTATATATACTTAAGTATTGTACCCATCATCAGTTTATTAAAAAAAACTGGTACATTTACAGAATTGAATACTACATAGCAGAAAGAAAGAAGGAACTCCTACCCTTCAGAACAGCATGGATGGAACTTGAGAGAATTATTCTAAGTGAAATAAGCCAGGCTGTGAAAGACAAATACCATAGGATCTCACCTATAAGTGGGACCTAATCAACAAAACAAACAAGCAAGCAAAATATAGCCAGAGACTTTAAAATAAAGAACAAACTGACAGTAACCAGAGGGAAGGGACCACAGAGGTAAGGCTGGATTGGGGAGCAGAAAGAAGGAAATTAATCTTCAAGGAACATAAATAAAAGCCCTATGGAAAAATCCAAAGGGGATAGAATTGAGGAAGGGAAGAGGTTTTTGGTGGGGTGGGGGAAAGGAAGGTGGCAAAATGGAAAAAAGTAAATTTCAACAATAAAAAAATGATAAAAAGCAAATAAAATATTACCAAACCAGTTAAAATATTGACATTGTTTTGTCAATCTAAGTGTATCAACTTTTGTCTTCTTATTACAGAAAATTTAGAAGATATATTTGAATCTGGTAATAAAAATGTTTCATTCTGTAGTGTTCACTGCTTCCCTCTCCTGGGCAACTTAATTCCTAGGAAGTAACTGAACACATGCGTTATGATCTTATCTACGATGGTTGAGGAAGAACTAGGAGCCCTGTGACCCTGACTCATGTATCGGATTAGTGTTCATGCTATCAGTACTTACTGTTTACTCAGATATTTCATTCTATTTTTACATGTTCCTAAATTTAATTAGTATTTGCTGAGCTGTATGCTGGTGACACAGTCCAGTCCCATTTCTATTGTTGAGACACTGGGACCAGAAAGTCTCCCAGAGGGGCACCAGGTCAGTTTCAGTATCATTGAAATACTTTTACATTTAACTTAATTTAGTTCCTACATCGTCTACGGCAGGAATGCTCCAGAGAGGTCCTCATGTGACTACAACAACAATGGGTTTACAAGAGCCTCTGCAGTCATGGTAACTTTGTGGAATTGCTGTCTTTTCTAGTCAATAAGAAATATTTTGGCCCTGGCTGATGTAGCTCAGTGGATTGAGCGCGGGCCTGCGAACCAGAGTATCAAACCAAAGGATCATGGTTCGATTCCCAGTTAGGGCACATGCCTGGGTTGCAGGCCAGTTCCCGGCAGGGGATGCACGAGAGACAACCACACATTGATGTTTCTCTCCTACTTTTTCTCCTTCCCTTCCCCTCTCTCGAAAAATAAATAAAGAAAATATTAAAAAAAAGAAATATTCTGTGTGTCTAGGAGGCATTTTGATTCTTCATTGCTTGTTCATTTGTAGATTCTATGATGTGTGATGAGCACACACTGTAAACCTACCAGGCACTATCTGAAGCACTGGAGACACAGCAGTGGATAAAAGAGACAAACTGGACATGATTGCTGATGTCCAAGTATTTTCTTGACAACTCATATTTATTTATTTT